GGATGGTCGCTCCTGCTATTTTTGTCTGTTCTGATCTGCTGCCGAGCTGACGGTTTCCATTTTTGTATTTCGTCCGCTTGAGCGGTGCAGCAGACTTCTCACCAAGGCTCTATTTCAAGTTATTGTTTTGCTCGATTTTATATGAACAAAACAGCGTCTTTATCCAACGGTCCTACTTTTTATAAGAATAAACATTCGACTGCATTCAACTCCGAGCCTGCTGCCATGTCTACTGCAGTATGTTGTCGTGTAGTGGGGCATCGGTCATCGGTACAACCAAGAGTAGATAAACAAGAGTGTGCAACTCCGGATCTCTTCTGCACAATCTGCAGATACCCCCGCCCACGGCGGAATTTTTTGTTGACGTCACCTTTTTTCAGGGAAACGCGGACTTTGCCGCAGAGCAGTGTGAGAGCACGTGCTGGGCACCGACCTTGTAGTGTAAAGCCCCGCTAGTGCACGAGGGAAACCTCTCCAAAAGGCTCGCAGCGCGTGCGTCGTCGAAAAGATTACGTCAACAAAAAATTCCGCCGTGGGCCAACCCATCCGCGAGTTGCACACTCTTGTTTATCTACTCTTGGTACAACGTTACCCGGTAGCCGGTACTATACTGTATGATGTGTATGCTTCTGATCTGGGCAGGACCGCCGGAAGCAGTTTTTGATTGCTCCGCGGCTATACACATGCGCGTGAGCCGGTGGCCTTCAAGGGGGGGGGGTCCGGGGGCCTCCCCGGCCCGGGGAAATTTTCCAAAAAAATGAAGCAAAATCCTGCATTTTGAGCGAAAAGGGTGGGGGGGGGTTCCGGGCACCCAGGAACCCATACGGGTCACGCGCCTGATACAGTGCACCTGCAGCGCTGTTACTGTACAGCCTCTTTTACGGGCAAAATAAACACAATGAATATTTTTTCCCAAGTGTTCCAAAATCTTCAACTCCAAGTTCGCGCCTGATACAGTAGCCTTTCTGATACTTTGAGTACCGTATGATATGCTGGGCACAGATAACCTCCTCAGCAGTATGATACATGTGTCGGTGGTCAGAAAGTTGGTCCGGGTCCGACCTGATCAACCGGACCAGAGCGGGTCAGTCCTGCAAACCGGGGCCTGCACACAGGCTGAATGGAATTGTATAAACCCAGAACACTGTCTGCGCTGCGGCCTACTACTTCAGTAGTACCAAGAGTTAATACTTACTGTAAGACATGTTATTATAACGAATCGCAAATTTAACGATTGTCCAAAATCCATAGATTAACGAGAAGATACGTTAACGATCTTGCGGTCTTCAGGCGTATCTGCACATAACACATATTATGCGGCATTAGAGCCTCAACAGAACTTATAACGAAAAAATCGCTAGTACTTTAACTTTGTCTTATACTCTGCACGTCACGATGAGCTCTGCACTGAGGTTATGCACTGATGAGCTCTGCACTGAGGTTATGCACTCTTACAATTTCATTGTATCAAGAGTAGTAGTAGTAGTACATACAATGTAATCCCCCCGCCCCCCCCCCCCCCCCCCATGGGTTATGTACCACAGTACATAACAGATACGACTCCCTGGTACATAACCATTATGTACTCTTGGTACTAGTAGATCTACTCTTGATTGTAGGACTATGTACAATTATATTAATATGTACATGTATTTGCATCTGGGCGTTGTGTGCAACTCCCTGTTCTGCATAAGGACTACAACGTACATAAAAAATAATTACTACATGTAGTATGTAGCCTATTAATTATATTGTAGGCAGTGCCAATAGTAAGGACGTTTAGCAATGCGAAAATTCGAACTTTTGGTGGTGGTGATATTTCGCGAAAATCTGTTTCGAAAAAGAAAACTTGTGAGGTTTAGCAATGCGAAATGACTTTTTCTCGAAGTTATTTGAATCTTATAGTACCGTACGGTATATGCAGCTCAGTCTCAAGCAGGGGGCTGTAAAATTACTACTCCCTGTAGTCAAATGCGTACCGAGAAAAGAGAAATTTTCGCAAATCACTGCAACTTCGCGTCCAAGTTTTCGAAGTTTCGAGCTTTTTTTCTGTACTCATTCCCAGACTCGAATTTTCTTTCGAACTTTCGCATTGCTAAACCATGTCCTTAGCACTTCCGTTCTCTTCTTCGTCAGCTGACAATCAGCTGATCATGCATGGGGCTGTTAAGTGTGACGTCACGGCTCCTTCGATACGCATAGCAACGGAGAGCACTGGGGACAAACAAAAGTCGCGTCCTCTGGATGGAACCAGATGTCAAGGGCAACAGCATCTAAATGACTGGAGAGACAGTTGTTTTTCTTTGCTTTTTCTTCAAGCGATTGTTGTCGCTCTTTACTCCTTGTTCTTTCCTCTACAAAACTCCTGTAGTCGTCGAGTGCCTTCATGATGGCTGTGAAATTGGCTGCCCACAGTAAAACTCCGTGTTTGAGAGTGCTTTGAAGATGTTTCGCGTCCTGATGGATCAAAGTATGAGCGCTCCTTGTGGATTCAATTATATATCGGTGAGTTGTTCAAGAAATCAGTGTCTTCTTTCTGTCTCTGCCCTCACGCTGGCACAATATCAGCCTCTATATCCATGACAGCTCGCACCTCCCGTAAACTGCATGACTTAGATATATTTTCGCCCTCCGTGGTGATTGAAGACCCATGGAAGAATTTATTATGTTCAGAATGATGTCCTAAGAATTAAAATAAAATAATTCTAGGGAATTGTCATAGGGTATTTTTGGAAGGATGGAGACAGAGAGAGAGAGCACTGTTTGAAGTGTTTGTCTCACTGTAATTACTCCAGATTATTGAATGTTGTATGATCTACTCTATATTTTCCATAATGGTTTTTCCTGATTTGCGGGATCTCTTCTTTTGCTGTTTGCGTGTTTACAGGAAGTGGCTGTCTGGTGTAACTGCACCAGATCCTGGGGAAATTAAGTCAGATGCAGAGGCAGGGTCGTCCAGTGATGCAACACTGCCGTTCTGCGTGCAACGTTACCGCTAATACCCCCGGCGAAAACACAAAGACAAACACGTGAAAAGACTACAGTATTGACCGTTCTGCTAATAAATGCATGACTGCTCCGACAGTCGATAATCGAAACACAGAGCACCAGCATGATGTTTTCATATTAACAGCTCAATTCTCAAGCCCAAAAATTGATGAATACAAATACAGAGCGACGCAACAAGAGATCATCCGGCAACCGAACAAACCTGGGTCTAATCAGGCACTGAATAGTCCTGAAAATGAAATACGCAGGCCAGATAAAGCAGTGCAAGCACATAATGTTACAAGGTACATGCATTGCAGAACAAAGTGTAACCAAAGATACACAGGGTTATAGCTGCACACTTGTGCATGTGCTCGCTCAGCCCAAGAACACACGATCATGATGATAGAAACAATCCGGGGGAAACACGCTAACACCGAAGTAAGCATCAACACGTAAATAGTGCAGCTCTGAAAAAATTACATTGACATGAACATTGGTGTGTCGAGTAGTGTCAGGCTTGAATAATCATCCAACCAAGACTTCATCAGGTCCCAGACGCTGAGATCGCACGCCGAATGTGAAGTGCATCTAGCCTTGAACCTGTCGCACAAGGCACACATATAATGGCAAAATGACATCCACTCTGATTATTTCCAGAGGCCAATCATGACAGAACACAGAAACGAAAACACGGGCTCAACCAAGTAAACGCAAAGGAAGTTAGTCAAAACAATCCATGCAGTGCTCTTTTAATTGCAGCGCTGATTGCAGTGTTGCGTCATAGCCCGATACCAGCTGAGCACAGACACAACTCCATTCGTCAGGGGCAAGGCATACTCTTCTGGAATAAAGTCATAAAGTACAGCGTTCCAATGACATTACGGGCACCTCGTGTAAATGCATGGTCTGTTCATCTGGCCGACTCGGCCACGCATGAGAGTGTGTGCATGTACATGCGCGCGCGCGCGCGCGCACACACACACACCATGTATTCGGTGCGTATGGTGTACCAGTTGCGGGACAATGAAGATGGAATCATTATCATGATGTTACATGTACATCTACAGTGTATGTTTGAGTGTAAAGTAAATTTTATTTTATTGCACATTTCTTCGACACAACTAATTACTTACTTCACATGTTCGCATTTCTCATAATCGATCCACCTGCACTCCGTATCAGTCGAGGAAAAATTCTCCCAGATATACACTAGTCACCACAGCCATGTGATGACATTGGGATGGGCCCCAAGCAGTGCACGATTGCACTCTCTAGTTACAATAAACTTGGCCAGATTATCTGTGAAGACAAAATGCAATGCATAGCGGCAATCGATGGATGAAGAGAGAGTTTGTAAATACCCATATCTTTCCACTTGTTCAGGAGCTTACCTTTTGGAGTTCACATCGTTTACACGATCTCTCATGCTGTCTTGCACCTTGGTTTTGTTGACCATGGATACGCCAACCCAGAAAACATTCTACAGGAGCTACTAATGCAGAGCGTTTTTCACGCTCGATCTCGGCGATCTACCTTGTCACGCCAATAAAATCCTCCGTGATACTGGCTACAGTCACAAGAGACGTCTCAGTAAGGTAATGAGCACGACAACATCGTCGAGATCAAGGACAAAGAGAAAACAAAACACTCACTGAAAACAGCAAAGAAGAAACGAAGAAATATACACGATTCCTATATGTTGCCACTGACAACTGGGTCGGTGGAGACGACGCTACTTTTGTTTGTCCCCAGTGGGATCGTTGTTATGCGTATCGAAGGAACTGTGACGTCATCACTTAACAGCCCCATTGTTGAATCTTTGATGAAGAGTTACGTCATGTGCACGTGTCTGCGACTCTGCGCCAGTCTGCGGCTCTGATTCTGCGCTGCTCGCCGCGCCATGCATGCATGCATGGTGCAAGAGTATTATTGTACATGACTTTGTACAAAAGTACAATCATGTACTGACTGTACGGGTACCAGGTGTGGTTCGTATTTTCAATTATTTT